AAAGGAAAACGAGTGAGGATTACAGCCCCAAATGGACATTTTTTTCCTGGGCCCTATGAAGAGGAACATTGGAAAGGAAAGGGAATATTTTTCTCCTTTTATTTTATTGAGTGGTGTGTGTTTGTTTGTGAGACAGGATCTCACTCTATCACCCAGGCTAGAGTGTAGTGGCACCATCATAGCTCACTGCGGCCTCTGCTTCACCACAGGCACATGCCACAATGCCCCGCTAACTTTTTTTCTTTCTTTTCTTTTCTTTTTTTTTTTTTTTTTTTGAGACAGAATCTCACTTTGTCTCCCAGGCTGGAGTGCAGTGGTGAGATCTCGGCTCACTGGGAGATTCTCCTGCCTCAGCCTCCCAAGTAGCTGGGATTACATGACCAGCTAATTTTTGTATTTTTAGTAGAGATGGGGTTTTACCACGTTGGCCAGGCTGGTCTCGAACTCCTGACCTGAAGTGATCCACCTGCCTTGACCTCCCAAAGTGCTGGGATTATAGACATGAGCCACCACGCCCAGCCTAATTTTTTCTTTTAATTAGTTTTTGTAGATGCAGGGGTCTCACTATGTTGCCCAGGATGGTCTCGAACTCCTGGGCTCAAGCAGTCCTCCTACCTTGGCCTCCCAAAGTGCTGGGATTACAGGTGTGAGACGCTGTACTGAGCCCTTTCTTCATTACTAATGTGTCTGATTTGGCCCCCAACCTCGCACACTCTCTCTTAAATCCTCAAAACAGCCTAGTGACATGGGTGCTATGGGTGCCCCCTTTGATAGTTGAGGAACTGAGGCACAGAAGCCAGGCGTGGTGGCTCACAACTGTAGTCCCAGCTACTCAGGAGGCTGAGGTCGGAGGATTACTTGAGCTCAAGAGTTCAAGATCAGCCTGGGCAACATAGCAAGATACTATTTGTAACCCAAAAAAAAGTAAATTTAAAAAGAATCTAAGACACAGAAAGGCAAAGTCACTACCCACGAGGCGCTGCATGTCCTGTGTGCAGCCCCGCCGGGAGGGCAGCCGAGACCTGATTTTCCTCCCTTCTCTCGCCCCACAGAGTGCAAGGATGTGAACAAGGTCGCCTACTGCCCCCTGGTGCTCAAATTTCAGTTCTGCAGCCGAGCCTACTTCCGCCAGATGTGCTGCAAAACCTGCCAGGGCCACTAGGGGGCGCGAGGCACTCAGAGCCAAAGCTTGGGGGGGGTCCCCGCCGCTAACCTTGCAGCAGCGGGGCGGGCCAGAGGGACCCCCAGTGGGGCGGGAGCTGGGAGGGAAGGGTGAGATGGAACCAGAAGTTATTTATTGGGAACCCCTGCAGGGCCCCTGGCTGGGGGATGGAGAGGGGCTGGCTGCCCCCCAGGGCCCCTCTTCAGCATCTCCCCCCTTCCGGTTCACATAGTGAGACCCCCTCCAGGGTGGGTCTGGGGAGGGGAGAGCTGTTCACCCCAGCACCCTTTGCACCCTCCCTTAGGGAGTCCCCAACACTCCCCGCCTCCTTTGATCGGAATATGTACTGTGAAGAGTAAGGGTGGGGAGGGGGTCTGCCGGTGCCCTGCCCGCCAGCACTGCCCTACCCCTCCACTCCGAGGTGGGGGGGAGTCTGTGTCTGCTATGGGAGACGGAGGTAGCACCACCTCCCTGACACCCTCCCCCTCACCTGACCAGCGGAGGGTCCACCCCTAACCTCTGCCCTGCCTGCCCCAGGGGCACCCCGACATCCAGGCTACCCCCTCATGGTGCTACAGACCCTGCCCTGGGGCCCACACACTCCTGCCAGGAAGCTCTACATCAATAAAGTTCTGTCTTGTGTAGATTTCTGCGAGTTGCGGTGAGTGTGTGTCAATGCATCCAGCAGCCTCCACCCAGGTCTGGAAGGGACAACCCACCCCACTCCCAGGTCTACCCAGAAGCCAAAAAGGGATTTTTTTTTTTTTTTGAGACAAGGTCCCTGTCGTCCAGCTATGCCTATCATAGCTCACTGCAGCCTTGACCTCCTGAGATCAAGCCATCCTCCCACCTCCGCCTCCTGAATAGCTGGGACTACAGGCAGGCACCACCACGCCTGGCTAATTTTTGTATTGTTTATAGATACACGGTTTCATCATGTCGTCCAGGCTTGTCTCCAACTCCTAGGCTCAAGGCATCCTCCTGCCTCAGCCTCACAAAGTGCTGGGATTACAGGTGTCACCCACCATGCCTGGCCCTCACAGAGGCTTTTTTTTTTTTTTTTTTTTTTTTTTTTTTGCGACAGAGTCACAGTCTGTCACCAGACTGGAGTGCAGTGGCACGATCTTGGCTCACTGCAACCGCCTCCTGGGTTCAAGCGATTCCCCTGCCTCAGCCTCCCAAGTAGCTGGGATTACAGATGGACACCACCACACCTGGCTTTTTTGTATTTTAGTAGAGACTGGGTTTCACCATGTTGGCCAGGATGGTCTCAGTCTGACCTCATGATCCACCCTCTTCGGCCTCCCGAAGTGCTGGAATTACAGGCGTAAGCCACGGCACCCGGCCACGGAGGCTCTGTTAAAGTCACCCTGGTCATCACACTCCCCGTCACTCCGCAAGCTTTAGCCACTCAGCCTCCCTGAAATTCTTCAATTGCTCTATAGTATTCCCATCTCTGGGCCTTTGCTTGAGCTATTAGCCCAGCCAGGTGCACCCTCCTGCCACTCTTTACCTGTTTTAACTCCAGCTTTCTCATTGGTGTCAGCACAAAAATTTCCTCTTCCTAGAAGCCTCCCCTGATGCCTCCAACAAAGTGAGGTTCTCCTACCCATTCATATTCACTCTGAGTGCCTGGAGACATTGCTGCGAATTGCATGCACCAAGTCTGTCCATTCAGCAAACTCACTCAGCAGATTACAAGAGAGATAGGCTTCTTCCCAGCTGTGACCACTAGGGGCGCTGCATCTTGACGTCTTTAAGGGGGATGCGGGTTTATCGCCCTGGACCAAAGATGGATCTGAACCTGGGTTCCTGCCAGGGTCTCCCAGGGTCGGGTCCTGCCTCAGTCACCCCCTCGATGGGTGGTGTGGGGAAGTAACCTCTTCGAACTGACATTTCCAGCTGGGCAGGGTGGCTCACACCTGTAATGCCTGCACTTTGGGAGGCCGAGGTCAGCAGATCACCTGAGGTTGGGAGTTCGAGACCAGCCTGGCCAACATGGAGAAACCTTATCTGTACAAAAAATACAAAACTTTAATCCCAGCTACTTGGGAGGCTGAGGCAGGAGAATCGCTTGAACCTGGGAGGTGGAGGTTGCTGTGAGCCGAGATCATGCCATTGCACTCCAGCCTGGGCAACAAGAGTGAAACTCCATCTCAAAAAAAGCAAAACAAAAACAAAAAGCAACAGCATTGTTTATATGTGGAAACAAATCTCATAAAAGATGTATACCTAGTTTTTATCAAGAAAATTATATAATTTTAATGAAAAATATAAAGTNAAAAAAAAAAAAAAAAAGAACTGCCATCTCCTCAAACGTCAAGAGGAGCCTCAGGTGATCGGCTGGTGTCCCAAAGACCAGCTCATGGGCTAACACATAATGGATCCTACATGGGCCAGGCTCTGCTGGGGGGACCCGCGTTCCCATTTTACAATGAGAAAAGGGAGTGACTAAGTCATCCAGGAAGCTGGAGTTTGTTAAATCCAGATGTGACATCCGAAGTCAGATGTGCCTGCTTCCTGGTACCCTCCACTCCTGCACACAGACACGTGTGGCTTCTGAGGGTCATCTAAAGAGGGAAGTTGGGCCGGGCGTGGTGGCTCATGCCTGTAATCCCAGCACTTTGGGAGGCCGAGTGGGTAGGATCACCTGAAGTCAGGAGTTCAAGATCAGCCTGGCCAACATGGCAAAACTTGGTCTATACTAAAAACACAAAAATTAGCCGGGCATGGCGGCAGATGCCTGTAATCCCAGCTACTCAGGAGGCTGAGGCAGGAGAATCACTTGAACCCGGGAGGTGGGGGTTGTAGTGTGCCAAGATTGTGCCACTGCACTCTAGCCTGGTTAAGAGAGCAAGACTCTATCTCAAAAAAGAAAAAAATTGGCTGGACACGGTGGCTCATGCCTGTAATCCCAACACTCTGGGAGATGGGGTCTTGCTATATTGCCCAGGCTGGTCTCGAACTCCTGGACTCAAGCGATCATCCAACCTTGCCCTCCCAAAGTACTGGCATTACAGGTGTTGAGCCACCTCTCCAGGAGAGGTGGCTCATGGGCCCCATCCTTGGTTTTAAAAGACATGCGGCCAGGTGCAGTGGCTCATACCTGTAATCCCAGCACCTTGGGAGGCCAAGGGGGGCAGATCATGAAGGCAGGAGTTCAAGACAAGCCTGGCCAATATTGTGAAACCCCATTTCTACTAAAAATACAAAAATTAGGCTGGGCGCAGTGGCTCACGCCTGTAATCTTAGCACTTTGGGAGGCCAAGGTGGGTGGATCACCTGAGGTCAGGAGTTCAAGACCAGCATGGCCATCATGGAGAAACCCCATCTTTAAATAAATAAATAAATAAATAAATAAATAAATAAACAAATAAAATAAATAAAAATACAAAAATTAGTCCGTCATGGTGGCATGCGCCTGTAGTCCCAGTTACTTGGGAGGCTGAGTGAGGCAGGAGAATTGCTTGAACCTGGAAGCAGAGGTTGCAGTGAGCCAAGATCGTGCCACTACACTCCAGCCTGGGCGACAGAGTGAGACTCTATCTCAAAAAATAAATAAATAATAAAATAAAAAGAGACTTGGAAAGCCCAAATCCTTCCTGAATTGCCCAGAAAAGAGGTGGTCAGTCTTTTAGCCAGCTGACCTGAGTGTTCCTGCTGCAGCCCTGTCCCTGAGGAGTTGGGGAAGGGGCCTCTGAGGTCCAGCGGTGGCTGCCATCAAGCTCTGACCCCTCCCTTCAGGCTCAGAGCCCCGCAGAGTCAGTTCCCCGCCCCCTCCACACCCAGCTTCCCTCCCCGGTGGCCTCAGCCCCTCCCGCCAAAGGAAGTGAGAAGGGGTTGGTGTAAGAGGAACTGAAGCCGGGAGTCCAGTGAAGGGGCAGAAGCAGGGCCATGCCCAAGCCGCCCCCAAGAGCCCCTTGAACCTGCACCTCCATTACGACCCATTCAGGTGCCTCCAGGAGCCCAGACACCCGCCCTCACCATGGTAAGTCCTTCAAGGGTGGGCTCTGAAAGTGCCCAAGATGAGGGGCACCAGCCAGGTACAGGTGTCCTGAAAATGACCATCAGAAATTGGGGTGAGGGGAGGGGCATGGTGGACCTTTGTGGGGGAAGGTCTCTCAGTGTGGCTCAGGTGCCCCCGGCATCCCCTACCAGGAAGCAAGCTCCCATCTGAAGGTGGTAGGGATGCCAGGGTGCTAGGCAGAGATCCAAGGAGCAGAGCAGGAGCTGGAAGACAGATGGTGGCCCAGGGAGAATCACAGAGTCTGCAGGGACAAGGACCTTTCCTCCTTTGCTTGCAAATTAAGGGACTCCTTTCCCAGCCCAGCTCGGTACCTGGTCTCCCTGCCTAGTCTTGGGCCAGTCACTTCCCCACTCGTGGCCTCGGTTCCCACAGATGTCATATTTGGAAGTCCGTCTAGATGGGGAAGTTGTTCTTCAGGGGTCTTTCAGCGGGAACATCCTCAGGGGCTGTGGGTTCTGCCACAGAGTCCTCGACTGAGATGGGAAGCTGTGTCTAATGGGTGGTGGGGTGGAGTGACATCCTCGCTGTGCAGGTGATAGGTGGTCTAGCTGCAGCAAAGGCAGGAGAGGCTGAATACGTCCATACTACCCTTGGTGACCATCCCTTATCCCAAGACAAGGATGGCAGCCAGAGGTGCTGCTGCCTGTCCAGTTTGAGGTCTGTTGATGGTGGTAAGAGTGAGAAGACTGTTGTGATCATCAGTCTCTATCTAGCAGCGTCACAGCACCGTAAGACACAAAGCAAGAGGTGGCCAGGGCTGGCTACAAACCCCACCCCACAGCTCTCTGCTGTGCAGACCACTTCAGCTTTCATTTCTTGTCATTCTCTCAGTGAGGATGAGAGCGTGTGGCTGGGTCAGCAACCATTGCAGGATTCTTGGCAGGTACAGCTTACCAGGGTGGAGTCAGGGATGTAGGGCCAGAGGCAGAGGTTGGGTTCGTCTGAGAGACAACATCTCCACCTTTCGGAAAGCCAGTGAGGGCTGGGCACAGGGGCTCACACCTGTAATCCCAACACTTTAGGAGGCTGAGGTGGGTGGATCACTTGAGGTCAGGAGTTAGAGACCAGCCTGGCCAACATGGTGAAACCCCATCTCTACTAAAAAATACAAAACAAATTAGTCGGGCATGGTGACACACTCCTGTAATCCCAGCTACTTGGGAAGCTGAGGCCAGAGAATAGCTTGAACCCAGGAGGCGAAGGGTGCAGTGAGCTGAGATCGTACCACTGTACCCAAGACTAGTAGACAAAGTAAGACTATACCACAAAAAAAAAAAAAAAAGAAAAAAAAAAAAGAAGAAAAAAAGAAAGAAAGAAAAAAAGAAAAAAAGAAAAAAAAAAAGAAAGAAAGAAAGAAAGAAAAGAAAGAAAGAAAAGAAAAGAAAAGAAAAGAAAAGAAAAGAAAAGAAAAGAAAAGAAAAGAAAAGAAAAGAAAGGAAAGGAAAGGAAAGAGAGAGAGAGAGAGAAAGAAAGGAAGGAAGGAAGGAAGAAAGGAGAGGGAGGGAGGGAGAGAGAGAGAGAGAGAAAGCCGATGAGAAATTGGGCATCCCAGGATTCACACCCAAACCATCAGCTGGAGCTCGGAGATTGGGACGGGAATTCTTCCAACATGAGAAGCGAGCCAGGGAGGCGCTCAGGTGCTCGAATGGGCAGGGCTTTGATCAAAAGAACACAGGAAGTGATTTGCTACTTGAAAGAAAAGCAACCCCTCCCCAAGGAAGCCCTGTGAAATGCTTAGTCAACAGTCCGCTTGGCAGACAAGGTCTGGGAGGGGCCAACCGTATCGCAGAGGATGACAGGAGAGAAAAAGTGGACGAGTGGTGAATGCCAGGAAGATCGCTGGAGGATACAATGGAACAATATTTGTAAAGTCCTTTACAGCAGGAGTCTCCAACCCCGGGGTCCTGGACTGGTATCGGTCCATGGTATTTTAGGAATCGGGCCACAGAGCAGGAGATGAGCGGAGAGTGAGCAAGCCTGAGCTCCACCTCCTCTCAGATTCTCATAGGATCGCGGATCGCAAACCCTATTGTGAACTGTGCACATGAGGGATCCAGGCTGCGTGCTCCTTATGAAAGTCTAATGCCCTTAGCCAGGCACGATGGCTCACACCTGTAATCCCAGCACTTTGGGAGGCCAAGGCTGGTGGATCACCTGAGGTCAGAAGTTGGAGGCCAGCCTGGCCAACGTGGCAAAACCCCATCTCTACTAAAAATACAAAAGTCAGCCAGTCATGGTGGTGTGTGCCTATAACCCCAGCTACCCAGGAGGCTGAGAGAGGAGAATCGCTTGAAACCAGGAGGCGGAGGTTGCAGTGAGCTGAGATTGCTCCACTACACTCCAGCATGGGCCACAGAGCGAGACTCCATCTCAAAAATAAAAAAAAAAAGCAGAAAGAAAAGAAAATCTAGGCCAGGCACTGTGGCTCATGCCTGTAATCCCAGCACTTTGGGAGGCCAAGGCAGGTGGATCACCTGAGATCAGGAGTTCAAGATCAGCCTGGCCAACATGGCAAAACCCTATCTTTACTAAACATACAAAACAATTAGCCAAGTGTGGTGGCAGGCACCTGTAGTCCTAGCTACTTGGGAGGCTGAGGAAGGAGAATTCCTTGAACCTGGGAGGTGGAGGTTGCAGTGAGCCGAGATCGCGCCATTGCACTCCAGCCTGGGCAACAGTGTGAGACTCCATCTCAAAAAAAAAGAAGGAAAGAAAAGACAAAAAAATCTAATGCTCCCCTCCACTATTCATGGAAAAATTGTCTTCCATTAAACCAGTCTCTAGTGCCAAAAATGTTGGGGACCATTGCTTTACTGACAGTTGATCCACAGTAGCTGCCATTAGCTGGAATGACCATTCGTTTCTGGATTTAGCAATGGGAATGGATGGAGGTGACGATCCTGGTAACTGGGAAGGAGTGAGCCCCAATTGCTGTGAGAGGTCATGGTTGGGTTGTTGTGTCATCAGTCGTGCTGGTGTTTGTGGCTGTTTCTTACCGCCTGGCTCTTGAGGGTGGGCCGGTGGTGGTGGTTGGTGTTGAATGTTCATTGGTGGTGGATTGTTTTCAGCTGGAAATGTTAGAGATGCTTGGTGACTGGTGGAATGATGGCCGTCGGTGGTTGCTGTTATTTGGAGACTGGGATATTGGTAGAAGGGTTTATTTATTGTTGGTTTCTGGTAAGATGATGACCAGTAATGGCGGTGCTTGTTCAACATTGGGTTTGAACAGGTTAGGATTGATGATTGCTGGCCGGGCGCAGTGGCTCATGCCTGTAATCCAAGCACTTTGGAGGCCAAGGCGGGCGGATCACCTGAGGTTGGGAGTTCAAGACCAGCCTGATCAACATGGTGAAACCCCATCTTTTTTTTTTAAAAAAAAAAAAAAGGATTGATGATTGCTGCTTTCTGGGGTTGCTAATGGTAGTTGGTTATGTGTGGTTGTTGATGACAGTATTGTTTCTTTGTTTTGTTTGTTTTGTTTTTGAGGTGGAGTTTTGCTCTGTCACCCAGGCTGGAGTGCAATGGTGCGATCTTGGCTCACTGGATTCAAACAATTCTCATGCCTCAGCCTCCTGAGTAGCTGGGATTACGAGCACCTGCCACCACGCCCAGCTAATTTTTGTGCTTTTAGGAGAGACGTTGGCCTGGCTGGTCTCAGCTCCTAAGCTCAAGTGATCCACCTGCCTTGGCCTCCCAAAGTGCTAGGATTACAGGTATGAGCCACTGCACCTGGCTGATGACTAGTATTATTGATGGTGGTTGGGTATCATGGGTTTGTGGTGGTGGTGTTGATCGTGGATGATTGTAAGAAGGCTGATGGTGGAACTGGTCATGGTCTCTGTCTGATATTGGCTAGTCACGGTGCCATTAGGTAATTAGCAGTTTCTGTTTGACTTTGAGGAGGGTAGGGGAGAGAGAGGAGACAGCCGCTGGTTGCCTTTGGTGGTGATGGTGGTGATGTGAGGGTAATAGCAGTTGTTTCTGGGGTATAGTCACAGAGTCAGGAACAATGAATGGCTCATGCCTGCAATTCCAGCAGTTTGGAAGATGGAGATAGGAGGATCACTTGAGACCAGGAGTTCAAAATCAGCCTGAAAGACATAGCAAGATCCTATCTCTACAAAGCATTTAAAAATCAGCCAGACGTGGTAGCATGGACCTATAGTCCCAGCTACTTGGGAAACTGAGGCAGGAGGATCGCTTGAGCCCAACAATTCCAAGCTGCAGTGAGCTGTGATGGCACGACTGCACTCCAGCCTGAACAACGGAGCCAGACTCTGTCTCTAAGCAAATAAATAAGATACAGTCACAAAGCAGGGAGACCAGTGATGTGGCTGCTTGGTCCAGAATCAGTGGCCATAAGGAAAGGCTGAGACTTAAAAGGAATTTAGGAGGAAGAATCAGTAAGGCCTCTAATTGGGCATGGGCACAGTGATTCATGCCTGTAATCCCAGCACTTTGGGAGGCCGAGGCAGGTGAATTACCTGAGGTCATGAGTTTGAGACCAGCCTGGCAAACATGGTAAAACCCCATCTCTACTAAAAATACAAAAATTAGCCGGGTGTTGTGACATACACCTGTAGTCCCAGCTACTCAGGAGGCTGAGGCAGCTGAATCGCTTGAACCCAGGAAGCAGAGGTTGCAGTGTGCCAAAAATCGCACCACTACGTTCCAGCCTGGGCAATACAGCGAGACCCTGTCTCAGGGGGGTAAGAAAAAATGCCTGTCATTGATTGGATGTAAAGAAGTGAATGTAGCAATGAATTGGAGACAGGCAGGTTTCTGTCTTGGGGGCTGGGGACCCCATCCCAAAGGATCTTCCCCACAAAGCAGGAGGGGCGAGACCAGGATGCCCCAGCTGCAGCTTCTGTGTGTAGATGTTTGAGGCGGTAGCCACCGACTCTCAGCAATCTCTAGCAATGAGACAGAGCCCAGCTCCAGAAAGACGAGAGTCCTCACAT